ATATATATAAATTTTATAATTTTTGACTGTATAGTTAAGGATTTAAAAATTGTCAAAGTTGAAATTTATAATAAAAATATAGTAAGTGGACTCGAACTTTTGGAAGCAACCGTATATGATAAAATTTTTATGCAAATTTTCTTATTGTAAATTGATATATTGTTGTTGAATGAATTAAGTTTAATCAAATTATTATTTGCAAATTTTATAATGTGAGTTTGATGTTTTAAATTATAACCTTTATATTTAAGAAATTTTTCAATTTTATATGGTAATATTATAAAAATTTGTTTACAATATTTATTTCTTTATTGTTAGAAATTTTTATACTACACACATATTATATATGTGTAAATTATTTATATTTTTTAGATCAATACCTATTAAATGATATACGAGGCTTTTTAAAAAAAATTTCGGTCATTACTGTATATTGTTATAAAATGGAGCCTGGAAGAAAAAAATTTTTTAATTTGTTAATCGTTAACGGATTTGCCATGAAAGACGTATAACTTTTGCAGGTAAATGTCAGGAATTAGCCAAATGCGTCGGAGCCGATCATGTCATGTCCGTACGTAATAATTGTTTGTATGGTCATCAAATACACAAGGACAAAAAAAGTTACATGAGAGTTGATTGATTGCGCGACCTTGTAGATATAGAAATTTCCGCATCACTTGATTACTTAGCGCAGGAAAAGATTAGAAATTAGAATTATATCAACGCATCGACCTTGAATTGTGCCATTAAAGGGGCGAGAAAGTATGTACGTATGTATGTGTGTACTGTATGTAGGTATGTGTGTACTGTATGTAGGTATGTGTGTAGGTGTGTATGTAGGTGTATACATATAACTGTCGTACAACCACTCGCCGTTATTTGATTGTGAAACTGGGCTCAAACATTTTGACCAGCAAGGGGTTAAAAGACTTGAGCTGGCTATCGCAAAGATTGTATTTGTCGGGAGAAGCGTGGATCAAAGTTATACAATTGTGTCCATTACCCACATTACACAGATGTGCGGTTAAATTGAACTTAGTTTCAGGATTACGAGCTTTGTGCGAAATCATAGTGTGACCATGTGTACATCAGTTTAGCAGTTTTAGGTGGTACTCACGGTAAACCATAGGGACTCAGGTGGTAGTACAAACAATAGTTTCGTAAGTTTCCGATGGCGAGGCAACGGATCCTTTTTGGCACGGCGAGACTTTCCATGTGACACAGAAGACGACAGGTCTAGGAGATGTTTCTTTACCCTATTTTAACTAGATCATGGTAGTTCATACCCCAGGATCTAATGCAGTTAATTCTTCCACTAAAAATCGGGCTTCGTGCCACAAGGGGCGTGAGAGGAGGTATGCTGATTAAAACAGGGCGTCTATCGTAGTAATGTTTTTTTTTGGAAAGCCTTCATTTTACTAAATAAAGCATATGTACCGCTCCTGTTCCCATGTTTTGAAGTGTGTCCTTGGCAGATCATTCGTTGCCTCACCTCAAATTTCCAAAATTCGACTAGACTCGGGAATATGCAAAGGTAGCATGTTCACAAAAATTTTTTTTCATCAAGTATATGGTTAATAGTTCTGACTTGGAAAAAAGAATAGGCGATTTTTTTTTTTTTTTTTTTTTTTTTTTTAAAGAGTTTTATCGTAGCCAACTTTTTTCCCTCATAAAACTTTCGATTATCGGAACAATCTTCGTTTCCTGATCTCAAGTGTTCAAACCAAAAGCACCAATTTATCTATAACCTCTATTTCCTGACCCTTGTGTGTTGAACAAATTATCTGTCATTTGTTTATCAAAACTTAGCAATGATAATCTAAAATCTAATTGCACATTTCTTTATTTATCAAATCATTTCTCTTAAAAATGTAAAAAGGATTTCTATTTATATCTCGATTGTTTTTTATATATGACGTCAAGTTGGAACGTATGCGTCCTTATTTCAATGCGAAGGGGGGAAGGTTTCATGTTGAAGTTTTCTGGGCCCAGAATCATAATTCTCGAATTTAATAAACTGCAAATAGGGTTTTATTGATCCGAAACCTTTCCCTATGAAATATTGAATCCAATCACGTGGGCAGCGTTCCGAACATTTTAATTGGACCGGGTAAATGTGTAACTTATGCATGTACTCTTTTGACTTGCATACACCTTGTTACTATTGGTGATAAGGAAGTGTGATTAAAAGTACCTTTTTAATTACCAAATTTATCCGAAAATTATCCTTTTCTTTATACGTCATTTTTGTCATTCAAATGTCATTCTCCTATTTTTTTTTTTTTTTTATTACAGTATTTGCAATCAATCATCATGCAAGTTTGCGTGTAACAACCACGATAAAGTGTGGCGAGCTCCTAAAGCCTCATCTATGGCGGTCCACGTTGCATATTGACCGCACATGCAACACTTAGTAAGAACATGCATAGGCTCCGAATGCCGGTACATTCCAAATGTAATCTTATGTAAAATTAAGTCGATCTTGCACTTTGTTCACTCCAATCCGCAGTAAATGAAAACGCGGGCGGGTTTATAAACGCACGTTTCAAAACCTTTAATGGTTGATTGACAAGAACTTTAACCAAATCGTGGAACTCATTAAACGCCGACCACCTCTCATTTACACTCCCCAAAAAACCCTCCTAGACATTCGGTAAGAATTCTTTGTTTTCTCGGATCTTTCTTTTATTGTAGCAACGAAGGATTACATTAGCACTGCGAAATTCATGAGGCGCGACTAGGTCCGTAAACAGGTTTTAGGACGATTGATGTGAGACAATTTAATAATGCAAGGAACTCGCTTGTACTAGTTTATGGACGAAAACGCATTTACAAAATGCAAGTAACATTTGATTTTAATGATTTTGCAGCCCGTCGCCATATTGGATTATTGCGACCGCAAAACTTTCAACTGTATAACGACATATATGGGAATTGATTGTGATTCTGCTTGAAAAATGCGAAAACGCCGTATTAGTCAAGGGCATTGCCTGTTGTGGTGTTCGCGCGACACCATCTCACCGTCCAACCATAAAAGGCAAAGGATGCTATTCAAAATGTCACGCACGCGCATTCATTCATTTATTCTAGAAACTTAAATGATTCATTATAATGTGCTAGGTTAAAGTGTAATACAAGCGACTAATTTGAATTCAGTTTGATCTCAATGATTGTGCAACTTGTCGCAATGCGCGAGTCCGTCGACGGTTACATGTACTGTGACACGTACCGTATATCAATTATTAAGCCTATTATATTTCTACGCCGGCACGTTATTTTAGCAGTATGTTATAGTATATACAATCTAGCATGTAAAAAAACTTTTTTATATTAAATATTTAAAGGTTAAATTATTAATATTACCAATATACCTTATTTAATTTCTAATTACACTATATACAGTATCAGGTTTTATAAGCTATGTGCTCATTGAAATATACTTGTTTAAAATGCTTCATTTCTTGATTCGCGTTTGAGCTCACGTGATTTTTATTTTGACAAATTAAAAAAAAAAAAAAAGTTTCGAAATAAATTTTTTTTAAAAAAAAAAGTTTGTTTTTGAATTCCTAATTCCAAATCAATTTTAACACCGAATCAATTGCATGATATATCTTATATATCTTTATTACGATAAACAATAAGCATGTGAACTTTATATAATAATAATAATAATAATAATAATAATAATAATAAATCTTAAATTCATCTTCTTACTTCACTAGAAGGTGGTTGGATTTTTTTTTTTGGTCATAAATAAAATAATGGCAGTAGATTGTAACCTTCTTTACATTGATGAAATGATATCTTCTAGTACTTAAAAATTTTTTTATTCAAAGTTCTTTGCAAATTTCGTTTGATTCCGATAGTGATGGTAAAGATGGTTTGTTACTTTAATTGGGTTTCGAACAACCGAAAATAAAAAAAGGTTTGGGGAATTGAGCGTCCCAATCTTTTGCGACACAATACTTCGGTTTCTACCAGCCTCCCTCATAATGACAATTATTTGAACACTCACTCCCAAGTTTGACATACAGTATAATGTGTGTGTGAAAAACCATTTTATCACATCACATTCACGTATTCACTTCCCGGCAAAAAAAAAAAAAAAAAAACACGTAAGCACCTGAGCCTGCCCGGAAACTTGACAAGTCGCGGACCTACTGTGCGCGCTGGGTTTTTCTTTTATTGATGAATTCATATGTTGACCTCACTGAAACAAGAAATGTATGATGAAATGAACCAGTAAAGCTACAAGCACCTTGTGAAAAATTATTTCCGATTATTTTTTTATTTATTTTATTTCGAGAGACGAAATTTTTAATTTTTTTCTTTTCTCCTTGGAAAAATCCATAAAATTGTAAATCCGCGTGCCACTTATTTGTTTACTAAGTAAACGGCTGACCACTTTGATCTTATGAGGCTTGTGAATAAATAAAGAAAAAGATTGACATCACATGTCAAACATTTCCAAGTTAGTCCTTCGCTGCATACAGGTTGACGATATCTCTCGACGCGCTTATTAATTTATCGAACATCGCTTGGGGGTGAGTGCCAACCCGAACCCTGAAACTTTCTTTAAAAGAAGATGATGGGCTTCTCGAGGTTAATCTTCACGCTTTTCGAAATTCAAATATATAATTAAAAAGAAAACGAAAAACGAAATTCGAGAGCTCAACGAACGCGATATACTATATACGGATCAGGACGAACTTTAAACACACGAGTGTAAGCCGAGGCAAATAATGGATGTTACCATTGAGATAACTTGTATCACACATAGAATGGACAGCAACCTGCGACATTTGATTTACATTTACATGGTAACTCGTTATGGCATGATGCGTGTTGATTATGTAATTTTAATAAGCACCATCTCATGCCATTCACGTGATCATGGTGCCGCGGGAAGTCATGGGGAATTTGAAAATGATGATTGGCCTGCATAATAATTACAACTTCACCCTTTTGATCACATCTTCCAAACTCTCAGGGTACAATTTCCTTTTCAACACTCCCGACCTTTCCATGCATTCCCACTGCTTCCTATTAAATCTTCCTATATAAGCTGACAATTTACCCAAAACTACTCCGCTAGTGTCGAAGAACCAATCATGTTTCCTCAATAACCGTGCAATTCTAATTTCGGCATCACCAACTTCAGCTTTCGAGTGCACAACCAATTCGATTTCCCCTACATTATGCCCAAAATCTGCGGTGTCCAAGTCTAACGTAAACTTATTGTCCAGAAGGTAACTTTGGCGCGTTGTCTTTATCATGCAGAACGGCGTGAGGGAAAACTTTTCATTTAACCATAATCCAAACGATTGAGAGTCTTTCGGGATTGACGGGTTCCGTGCGACGAGCACTTGACCGAGGTAGTCGGAAATCTTATTCAAATCCTCGAGTTCGTGGTAGGAGTCCATGGAGGTCACCAAATCCATCGGCGTCTTACACTGCCATTTTTCGTCACGCTGGCGAAGCCAGATATCCTGGGAGGTTAGAGGATAATCATTTCCATCGACGTCGTAATAAATGTCGGTGAAAGATTTCGTGCAGATAAATTTGACGGACTCAAATTTGATAGGGCCACCGTTGCGCTCCAACACGGGAATTTTGGTTACATCAAACACAAATTTACGCTCTATCTCAAAATGCCCTTTCTTCTGTTGTGGGATATTGGTGGGAGGCACAGTGAGCGGCCTCGCATGGTTTCTGTGATGAGGAGTCTTTGTTGTTTGGATAACAAGGAAAATCGATTCCATGAAGATATTGCCAAATTGACTCGACAGCTTGCATCTATGAGCCGAATTCGAGGCGAGGGATCGAACACCAAGACCAATCGCGCTAAAAATGGCCATAATTGACTCAGGCAATTGCCGACTAAAGTTCCTTTCGAATCAAGCGAAAGAGCCATTTCATTGAAAAAGACACAGTTAGCATGCATATATTTGCATATAACTAGCATGATAAGAGGAGAAACCAAAATAATAATGATAATAATAAAAATAATAATCCACATTCTATCGACTACATATGCACCAGAAAATTTCGAGACTTCGATGCGTGCGTGTAGACATCAAGTTACCTATTTGTATTCTCCCTGATTAAGTTCGTTTTTCCAATCTTGTATATATCTGTTGTCTCGCACGGATATCTAAACATATACTATATTGATTATCAGCGATCATTAATCGATTATTGGTAATTATGGTTAGAGTTACTAGGTGCATTCATGAAAAGTGAGCCAAGTTAACAGCGCATTTTATGAATTAACCAAAGTTACTTGCACCCAAACCTTAATTTCGGTCATATCATAGTCCTTTGTCTATCACAGGAGCATACAGTTCCTAAATCGTCATGGTCTTATGCAATGCCAAACTTCAAAGAATTTAGGTAGCCAATCAGAGGAAACCAACCAATTTCTTTTACCCACACTTTCATCAATTGGCAGATATGGCAGATAGATAAAGAAAACTCCGAGAGAGTGCACAAAGAAGAGATCACCAAACTGTCAAGTCTATTCGGGTCCATTATTCTATATACAGTTTTATACATAATTTACAATCAAGAAAAAAAAAATGAGGGGAATGAGACTTTTTAGAGTATCATAGTAATCGTGAAGATCGAGATCTGGGAGATAGACGTTCATTCAACGAAAATTTTCTCCAAAAGATCATGAGATAGACATTTGGTTACACAACAAACTCATACCCAAAACGCACCAGAAAGAAAATGGACACCATTTGGTACGCATTTGGCTTGATTAGTATAAAGAAGAATCACATAATGAGACCAAAAACGTTTGACCGCTAATTCCCGAGATCCTAGTTACAACATATATAAGCACGCGACGCCACCACCACACTTTGTCGAGTGGATGCTCGCAAGAGACTTCAGTAGCGGGTTGGTGAAATGACAAACTTTAAAACTTAAAAAAAAAAAAAAAAAAAAAAAAAATCGACTTCCTGTCATTCAAAGTTGGAATGCACCCATTGCATGTTTTTTTTTTTCTACTGTGACCTACTTAAAATGTAAAAAACCGGATTTTAGAGTGGTTTAAAAAAAAAGTTAACTCTTGTAAACTTCCGGCGCCTCAAACCTTAAAAATCCTCATTATTAGGAAAATGGGTTCAGAAATTTCATTGGCCAATTGATGAATTAGCTGTCTCGTTATCCGTGAGATCAAAAAAAAAATTCAAAGTACACATGAACGAGGCAATATTTCTGCACACCTCAGCGAAAACCCTACACATTGCATGGAAGACCGAGAGATAAGCCGAATTTAGAAGGCAAAAAAAAAAAAAAAAAATCCTATGAGTATTTTCATTTCCTCCCAACACCTTCAATACTCGATCACGTAAAAGGAATGAGAGAATTTCCTCTTTTTTAAAAGATTTTATAATCTTTTTTTTTTTTATTAATTGGCTTTAATTCTTTTATCATTTTTTTTTGCGTTTTTTTTTTCTTTGTTCATTTAAAAAATTATGTATAAAAAATAAAATGCAATAATAAAATAAATGCAGAGTATGATGGTGCTTTTTACAATTGTGGATAAAAAAGGGAAAAGAGAAAATGTGCGTGAAAAGTGAAAAAGGAAGAAAGTGTTTGTGGTTTGTGATTTACAATGTGTTGATTGATGCCTAAGGTGAAAAAGGGATGAAAGAGAAAGAAAGGGTGGTATATAATTTAGGTATCTTATCAATCTCTCTTCTTTTTTTTTTTTAAAGAAAAAAAAAAAAAAGAGAAAAGAGAAAAAAAAAAAAAAAAAAGAAAAATTGTTAAGTTTTTTTTTGAATTGATGTATACATGATATTATTACGATAATTATATTAATAAGTTTAGTTATGACTATACAAAAATTTTTAATTAAATTTCTTAGCATAGAATACCTAGGACACTTTATTAACCCAGGGGAGAAGGTAAATGTCGGACTAGATTATTATAAATTAACAATCAGAAGCAAAGATCATTTGATAGATTCATATCCTATTTGAAGGGGGCGGTCGTGAACTTCATTGGGCAAAGAAAACTGTTTGAAAAATAAATACAAAAGAAGAACGATTAGGCCAGGAATCTCTCTTTGCACGACACAAATAAAAGGTATGCTGATGTAGGCTTGGAAAAAAACCCCGGAATTGAATTTCTGATTGCACTCTCTTCGCAGAACAGGAACAGGATAGAACGCGAGAGAGTCAAAAAAATTTTTTTTTTTTTTTTTTTTTTTGGTTTTTTTTGGGGAAATTTTTTTTTTTTTCTGTGTTTAAATAAAGGGAGCAAGACCAAAAAAAAAAAAATTTTTTTTTTTCTTTTTTTTCGCTTCTCCCCTTCCATTCAACAATATTCATACGTGTAAGTTTCGAGTATATATGCATGTGTGATGCGAATGTTGCTTAATGAATTTTTACAAATTGATTATTATGTGATCTGGAAATGGAGAAAAATGTTGTAGATCAGTAAGATGTTCGAACAGTGTTAAAAGGAAGTTCAACCAAATGCTTGTACATTACCTTAACTTCTTGAAGAATTTGGTGAGCATATGGTGTTTGTTTTTTGTGATTTTTTTTTTTTTTTGTAATTTTTTTTTTTTTTTTTTTTTAAAAAAAAGAAAATTGATGTATGCAAAATGAATGTAGGGAATGTGATTTTTCGAAATTTTTTTGTGTTTGTGTTTGTGTTTGTGAAAATTGAACGACGGAAATATGTTTACGAAAAATAAAACGAATTTTTTTTTTAAAAAAAAACAATTCTTGAATATGCCGGTGCATACCCTATTCAAAAAGAAAGCAGAACAGATGTCAAGGATTAGTCATATCAAAATAGATGGTCGCGTGATTTCACGTAAGTCGACGATAAACGACCAATCAATATCCAGCAATTTTGCTTACCAAGGTCATCATCATTTGTAAATTAATAATCGAATTTCACGACTTGTTGGTATTGTTCATCAAAGTTAAGAGGGGCCATGTTGTCATACTGGTCGTATGGGTCTACAAATTCAAGGTAGCTCATGGCCTCTCCTGTCGTGGTTTGATTGGGAGCATCAAACACACTAAAGTCAATCATGCCACCAGATGTTGTCATAGGGGGGTTTACAAATGTTGCCGCATTTGATATCGGGCTGCCGTCATATGAATTTTGGTCATCAATATATGACCCATATTCATATTTTCCCATTGTGGGGTCCAAGTAACCGAGTTGCTGTGGCGAACTCGTTAGGGAGCCGTTTGCGTACAACAAATGTTGATGGGAATTTTGAATGATATTGGTGTTGTGAGAAGTCACCATGGTGGTTGGGGTGTAGATTTCGGAATTTTCACCGTCAGTTGATATTGAAATTCGTCTTGGGAAAAATGCTGCACTATCGATCATCGACAAATTTTGAGACGACAAGGTTGGTGTGGAACCCTGAGTTGGCGGTGAATCTTCACGTGGTTGAATCCTACGTTTCCTTTCTTGCGGTCTTCTTGGGCGGTATCGGTACTCTGGGTACTTTTTCATATGTTCTTGCTTGGCCGCATCTGCCATCTTCTGGAATTTAGATCTGACCTCTTGCGGTTCCTCGTGCCACATTCTACCGATTTCCTTGGAAACCTCATTATTGGTGATGCCTTGATTCTTGGCCACGATCCCTGGTTGCTTGGCTCTTCGGTACAAAATGAAGGCATTCGGTGGTCTCGGCGGTTTCTTGACCTTTGTTTTCGAATTTGCGGACGTGGCTTTTGGTGTGGGTCCGGCAACTCCGCATGGAAGCGCAAAGGATGGCAGACGGACGTCAGTGTCTGGAAGCATCCTTGAAACATTGGGCGCATTTGACACTGGCTTTGCATTTTCCAATAGGTTAGTCACCGATGTAGCTTTCGCATCGTTCGGAACTAATACTGGTTCAAACCCTTCGGGAATAAAGTAGAGAGATCCCTTGTTCTGGTCGTACAGGTCTTGGACCTTGTCATATGAAACGTACTCAAAGTTTGGAACTGGTGGACCGCCCTTTGAAGCCTTGAGCTGTGGTGGTTGTAGTTGTGGAATAAAGGTCTCTTGATCACAACTTGTCACCACATTACTTGAAGACATCGAAATACTAGGGCTGCTATTGTTTTCGCTGTTCTTATTGCTATTTTCCTTGAGGTAGGGGTTAGCAGTTGCAATGGTCGAGTGCTGCCTACTTTCGGTGTATACCCGTCCAGCTGAATATTCTGACATTCCTGGAACAAATAGAGCAATAATAATTTCAATTCAAGCTGTCAAATAGGACACCAGGTCGGTGGGAAGAGGGTAAAGAATGGACACTTGAGAAAAAAAATGAATAGCAACAGCGATTTTTTTTATAATATATTTCTATATATATAGTTATATATAGGTATATATATATACTAAATAGCAAATAGGTCAAAGAAAGGACTTTCGGAAAGGACACAAAAATTTTTTTTGAGTGTGAAAAGTAGGAGTATATATATAATATAACCGTAGTTTAATTGTATATAAGCTTATTAGTTGGTTGATGATCAGTAATTAGTTAAGTTAGAACTATTAATACATCAATATTTCAATTATAATTTAGTAATTTATACGTATATATTTAGAAATAAATGTAAACTCTCTATCTTTTTTTTTTTTATGTGGATAACAGTACTTTGAGTTGTTGAAAACTTGTAGTAGTTGGTGCCACGTTTCGCCGCGGTTTTCGGTGTCACACAGCCTTTTTTAAGTTCATCCATTACAAAGCGTAAAATATAAAAAAAAAATTTACCGTACATATAAATATATATACATGTGCCGGCATAGCCACATGAAATTAAAGTGCGAGACCGTGATTCTTAATTCTGGAAATCTTCACGGCAAACAAACCAAAGAGTCACCAAAACACTTAATAATAAGGATTTGAATGGTCTAATAGAACACAATGCTGTAATACGAAAACAAGGGGCGTTAAATTCTAATATTTATGGATGCTTGCGCAACATCCAACTACTCGTACGATGAGCATGGTTCTTTTTTAACGTATGGGCAAATACAGAGGATAAAAAAAAAAAACCTCCCCATCGAGAATGGTGTGTCATCAATTCTTTCCCTGTCCAGTTTTCGCCTTTCTGGGAAAAAAAGGAACAGTTCGAGTGTCAAAAAGGGTTTTCCCATCCCGTAGTTATCACCTATGCACGCAGTTGCCGAATAAGGGAATTTATCTGCCAAATATGATTCTCTTATCGGATCTTTTTTTCCGGAACCACCACAGTTAATATTTGATTCATTAATTTAAAAGTCGGCCGAGCAGTTTGCATCAATGCTATCTATCAGTCATTTAAAATGCATTAAAGGTGTAAAAATTTGTAGCTTAATTTTGACTTTCCTCCTGACCTTTTTTTTTTTAAAGACAACCATAGGATTTTTTTTTAACAATACCGAAATGGACTAAAAACGATTTAAACAATTTATTTAATTTGAATAAAAATTTAAGAACAAAAAAATGCTTTGCCTAGAATCCTTTCGCTAACCATTTAACATTTGTCTGAAAAACCAATAATTGGATTAAATTCATAACAAAAAAAAAAAAAAAACCTTGCAATATTTATCAATTTTATAATTTGATAGATAAATCATTAAGCGTAATTTTCGCATAAATATGAAAGTTTTCGATTTTATTAAAATTCACTTGAGGATTTGATTATTCATTAATAAAGTTTTAAATTTATTGATTAATCAAAATTTGTACTTTTTTTTTTCCTCTCACTTCTTCTTATAGTTTAATTTAACAATTCACAGCTTTCAGGATAATCAACAATAATGAACTTTTGATAAAAAATCTAAATATATTATTTAAAGATGAATAAAAAATAATGATTTTTAAATCAGATCAGATTTAAAATACCTAAATTAAACTTTATTTTGTTTAATTTAAACTCGTTCGATAGATTTTCTTATATTTTTTATATTATTTAGTTCTTTATTTGATAGTATATAAAAATAAATTGATTATTATATAAGAAATTATTATATAAAAAATTATTATAAAACTTATAGATTTATAATATAATAATATATTATAGAAATAAGGATTTAAATTTAGAATGAATAAAAAAAACTCTTTCTCAAAAATTTCCAATCCTTATAATTTCTTTTTTAGATAATTATTTCAAGAAAAGAGAAATATCAAATACAAGAAACATACTCTTGTAATAATAATACAAAATCAAAAAGACAATCCAATACAAGACAATATTATATTGGATACTTCAAACTAGTCAATAATTAAAAACTTATCTATCAGAACAAACAAATAGTAATTGATTCATAGTCAGAAAAGGAAAGTCAATATCAACTTTACAAAGTTTATATTTAAGTCAATACAAGTTGACCCTTTTTTTGATACTATAAAAATTTTTTAAAAAAAATAGTTAGTTTGATAAATCAAATAATTATAAATCCTTCAAGATCCTGAAAGATATCAAAATTCCTTAAAGTTTAAACAATTTAATATACAGTTCTTCAATTTTTAAATATTAAAATATATCAATAGGAATAAATCAAATAATTTTAAATCCCAAGTCCTAGAAAAATATCAAAGCTTTTCAAGATTTAAATAGATTAATATACAGATCCAATTCTTTAATATTAAAATACATCAATAAGGATAAATCAAATAATTTCAAATTTTTCAAGATCCAAAAAGACATTAAAACTTCTTAAGATCTAAATAACTTAATGTATAAACTTTCAATTTTTCAATATCAAAATATATCAATAAGTAGTGTAAACATATACATATATAAGAGTTAACTTTTAAAACATATTTAATCAAGATTTATTATAACAATATAATGAAGCTACTATATTGAATTTTTTTTTTTACCCCTTTGTTAGGCTAGTTATGTATACTTTATTAAATATTTGTAAATTGTACATATAATATGAATCACTAAAGCTAAAAAATGGTAATTAACTCATTCGTCTTTATAATTACTACTCTAAGGGCTATTTTGGAAGTGATTTATCATTCCATTAGGAGTTCAAGTGAAAAATTTTCCAACTCTTAATATCATTGCCTATAGATCACTACTGCAGTAAAGCTACAATATTGATAAGATTGATAATCACAATAAAACAACATCAAGTAATTAATGTTAACAAGCTATAAAATCATTTTAAATATAAATAGAGAACTGATTAAAATAAATATATAATACTTATATCAAATAATAGACAACAATACAAGTCCTATTCATATCAAAACAGAATTAGCAAATTTAACAATAGTTACTAAAATAATATTAAAAACAAAAATTAATTCATTCATATAACTATTTATAATATAATATAATTATATAACAATAATATTAATTTATATATATAAGTTATTATAAATAAAACAAAACAAATACTTTAGAAAATAAATAAAAAATAAGAAGATATTGTTGATATGCTAGTTTAACTAGCAAAAAAGTATGATAAAATAGATAAAATATAGGTTATATATATATATATATATTTTTTTTTTTAAATTGCTGGCTCAGCCTTGCTTTATTTGAATTTAGTATGAAGTTACATATGTCTATGTTATAACTACATTTGTTTACCAAATAAAGCTCGATAAGGAAAAACCTACCATGTGGCTTATTGCCACTCTTTAAAGGGAACTAACTTGCCAAAGCTAGGCTAGCGCTATAAAATTTCCAATAAATGATAAGGGTTGTGATCGATTTAATACTATTGTGAATGTATTTATTAACTATACTGATAAATTGTTTTTTTATATGTTTCTCTCTTTCTTCTACCCATAGATCTAGTATAATGGTACTATATTTGTGTTACTTTTCCATGGCTCTTGTGATGCTTTGTTGTTTTTTCTAATTGCGAAAATCCTTACATCTGTTATGTCATATTTCTTGTAAATACTTGATGATTTCTTGAGTGAACTCTTAAAGATATGCTTTCCTTGTGTTTCGATTAGGAATTAATTCATTGATCATCTTGACTGTTTCTTTTAAGATGGCTCCTCGAATAGCAATTTCTAGATATCATTTGTAATATAGAGCAGTGTTGATTGAGTACTTTGACAGAGTATCTTTGGTTTTGTTATGTTTGTTGAATTTTGCAACAGTCTTTTTTATGGTTTCAATAAGGAAGTTACCTATTGTGTACTAGTATGTTTGACAAATTAATAGACATGTATTGGATTCTCTTTGGCCACATTTTAAACATTTGTCATCTTTATATAATTTGGATATTCTGTTGAAGAGTTTGGCTTTTGTGAGTAGTTCTTCATTCCATATTAACAGTCTGAATCTTTTTTGCTGTTGATTGGGTTAACTGATATGATGATTGTTCATTTTAGTTAGTTGTAAGTTGTCTATGTTTGATAGCCAGTAAATTTTCTTGATCATAAGATCATCAAAATTGTTTTTAGTACAATTTAAAAGTCTCTACTTTGCTAAATGTATTGCTTTTGTGATGCATTTGATCATTGTCTTAATTGGGATGTCTATTGTTTGGTAATTCTATTAAGAAATAAGAGTCAGTTGTGGGTTGGTTGTGATATGTGTAGCTATTAGTCTATTGTTTGGAGTTATGCCATATCTGGGATCAATGCTTGCCAGTTTGTCTGCATCTTCATTGTGCACTATTTCAGAGTGAGCTTTTACCTTTTTAAGCTTCATTTTTATGTTTTTTTTCCCACATATGTCTCTTATTTGTTGCAAGAGGTTGAAGTTTTTTTGTTTTCTGAGAGCTTTGACTGGAGTTGTATTCAGTATATTGTTAATGTCATTTATAGTCACATTGCTGTCTATGTGAATCTTTGTATAACTATACTGTGGAAAGATGCTTAATGCTATTAGTATAGCCATTATTTCTGCATGAGTTGAAGATAGGTGTAATATTGTTTATGCTTGGAATGTGAACTCCTTTCCCTCATGTATGATAATTTTGAGATCTATTTCCATGAGCCATTTTTTGTTATATTCTTTTAGTGATCCATCTGTATATATGTCAAAGATTATGTTGTCTTGAATTTTACTGGCTAGTTTGGCTAGTTCGCTTATTATACTGTTATTAGTGTCAAAGTATTTATTTAGAAGTTGGTTGGTGTTTTGTATTACCAGTATAAGAATTTTTACCTGGTTACTTGTTAATTTCATATTTGAATGGCCTATTAGATCCAATAAGATCTGTATTGAGTCTGGGGATACTTTGCACCTGAGTATGTTGTA